CGCCATCCACCGAGATCCTCTGCCCGGCATTTCCAGCCTGTTTCTTCAACTCCTCCCAACGCAGCTACCACCTGCTGGTATCACACAACCTTTGGTGCCAGAGTCCGTCACTGCATCTCTCTCTGCTCGTTCGTCTCCAAGCAGAGCACATGGGTTAAGCCAGTCCACGCAAAGATGAACGCTACCAATCTGCCTGGCGTCTCCAGCTCTAATCACACCTTTTATATCTGTGATAGCGGCAGTCGCTGATGTTCTCTGGTGGCCACCGGAGCTCAGTTATCAGTAGTCCCTCCAAGTCCAGCTGACCATGAATCTCCCAGTTTTGGTCTTCACCTTCAGGCTGCAAACTGCTCCTCGATCCCAACTGTTGGCAGCCGGTCTCTCACCTTAGACAGTGGACTTTGAAGATCATTTTCCCGGATTTTTGTTATCGCCGATGTTCCCCATGCCATTTTTGGTTCAGACTTTCTTGCGAAATTTGACCTTTTGGTTAACTGTCATCATTCTCTTCCTGTTAACCGTCTCAATGGTCTTTCGATTCATGGCTTGTCTCCCTTTACGAACTCTTGCAATTTATCTCTCCTCGATACAGATGGTGCCTGTACTTTCCGGGAGTTACTTCGAAAGTATCCTAACATTATTAACTCCCAGTTTTGCACTGGTGATGTTCAACATGAGGTCGCACACCACATCCGCACCTCAGACCCTCCTGTGTTTGCTCGGCCTCGAAGACTTGCTCCGGCCCGTTTGCAGGCCGTGAAGGTGGAATTCGAACACATACCGCAACTCGGCATTATCCGACCGTCTGAGAGTCCTTGGACTTCCTCTCTTCACATGGTGTCCAAGGCCAAATCCGGCGAGTGGAGACCCTGTGGGGACTATCGTGGGCTCAACAATGCCACGATCCCGGGCCGGTATCCCGTGCCGTATCTTCAGGATATTGCTGGAGTCCTCTTCGACAAAACGGTTTTCTCGAAGATAGACCTGGTACGCGCCTTTCATCAGATTCCGGTCGCCCCTGAGGACGTTCCGAAGACTGCTGTTACCACCCTATTCGGCCTCTTCGAATTCATCCGAATGCACTTTAGCTTAGGGAATGCTGCCCAAACGTTTTAGAGGTTCATTGACCATGTTTTACGATGTTTGCCATTTGTCTATGCCTACATCGATTACCTCTTGGTGGCTACTCGGACTGTCGAAAAACACGTGGACCATCTAACCCAGGTCTTCGACCGATTTGAGAATTTTGGTGTTATATTCAATCCCTCAAAGTGCGTGTTTGGTGTGCTGTCTCTTGAATTTCTTGGCCACCTTGTCACCTCCGAAGGTTTGCGGCCGCTCCCCTCTAAGGTTGAGGCCATTCGTGATTTTCCTCCACCAACTTCTAAGCGTCAGTTACAACGTTTTATTGGGATGTTCAACTCTTACCGCCGGTTCCTCCGAGTGGATCAAATGTTTCCTATCATGCAAGCTGCAAAATATAATTTTTTGTAGCACAGAATCCGAATGTGTAGCAGTAGAAAGTGATGCTCCGTAGGGTTTAGTTTTAGGCCCTATCGCAGGGGGTTAAGTGAATTAAACCCAGCAACTGCGGTCTTCAGACCATGGTTACTTAGTTGAGGAGAAGTCATTAAAGGCCAGAGTAGAGGGAAGAGTTTATTGTGTACATAGG